ATCAGAGAAGCTTCTTACAGTAGATGGAAATTAACACAGAGACCTACAAGTGGACAGTGTGCAGAGAGTGAGAGACTTGGGAGCACTCAGCCCTGAATGGGATGTCTTTATCAAACCCCTCCCCTCAAAACTCAGGGATCCCTGCGTAAGGAAAGCCAGAAAGATTGTAAGAGTCAGAGGTGGTAGAGGACACCAAGGAAACAGCCTCTTCCAAATGCAACAGGACTGATGCACATGTGAACTCACAGAGCCTGTGATAGCTCGCACAACACCTGCAGAGTCAAGCCAAAGGAGGTTCCAGCACTAAGAAGGGAAAATGGACACTGTCTCAATTAGGGTCTTAGTGCTGTGACGAGACACCATGACCATGGCAATTCCTAGAAAGGAATACATTTAATTCAGGCTGGCTTAACAGGTTCAGAGGTTAAGTTCATTATAATCATGGCAGGAAACATGGTGCCATGCAGGTAGACATAGCACTGGAGAGGTAGCTGAGAGTTCTACATTCAGACCAGCAGGCAGCAGGAAGAGTGAGACACTGGGCCTGGCTTGAACATTTGAAACCTCAAAGCCCCTCCCCCAATGACAACTTCCTCCAACAAGGGCACATCTACTCCAATAAGTACTCTGTATGGATCTATGGGGCCATTTTCATTCAAACCACCACAGATATAAAGTCCCATCTCTAACCAGGAAGTCCTCTGCAATAGATATCTTTTGGAAAAACAGGAAACTAATTTTCTCAAATGAAGTGTCACTGGATATACCAACCACACTTAAGAGCAAGCCCAATGCCCAAGAATATTCTGCCAACAAAAAAATGAACTCCATGTTTTTTGTGTGTATGCTGTTTTTGCTTTGTTTTGCTCTTTGGTCTGATTGGTTTTATAGTTTTTAGTTTTCCCTGCTCTGATTTTCACTTTTGTTGTTGTTTGTAGTGAGCAAACTGGAGACATCTCGGAGGAGTTGTGGGAGGGTGTGACATGGAGAGGGTGGCTCGTTTGTCCCGGCTGTCCGGCTAGCTTACACCCGAAATAACCACACAGAAACTGTATTAATTAAAACACTGCTTGGCCCATTAGCTCTAACTTCTTACTGGTTAACTCTTACATATTAGTTTAACCCATCTCCATTAATCTGTGTATTGCCACGTGGCTATGGCTTACCGGAGATTCTAACCAGCGTCCATCTCAGGCAGAGAATCCATGGCTTCTCCCTCTCTGCCCTACTTACCAGCATTCAGTTTTGTCTTCTTTGCCTACCTAAGTTCTGCCCTATCAGGCCCAAAGCAGTTTCTTTATACATAAACCAATGAAAGCAACACATGAACAGAAGAAACTCCTACGCCATATATGAAAAAAATTAAGAGAAGTTTTTAAAGAAAAAATGCTTTTAGCTGGCAATTGAACAGAGAACTTCGTCCATGATAAGCATGTGTGGTATTTCTGAGCAATGCTGCCAGCTCTGTGTATTGATGTGTGTGAGAGTAAAGGGTGACATAGCAGGCCAATTTGCTTTTCTGTAAGACCTAGAACTTACCTAGGGAGTCTTTAAGTTTACTTCCTCCCAGAACCAGTCCTTTGTAAGTGACTCAAGACAAAATTGAAATGTGGGATGCCAGACCACACATCTGTGGTGTACCCTGCAGATCCTAAGACATGTTAGGTAACAGAAAGGATGGAGACGAGTGAACTATCAGCCTACATGGCAAGTGGGAAACCAAGGAAGGGGAGTTCTAGCATAAAGGTGAACCCCACATTGTGGCACGCCGCGTCCGCCAGCAGAAGAGACGACCACAACAGGATTCTTCTCAGAACATACTTTTATTGGGAGCGTACAAACTTGAGGTTGATGGCGAAGGACCCCGGACCCTGGCGCACACGGCTTATAAGCAGTGCAGAACAAAGCCTGAGACGTGTCTGAGTCTGAATGGCTCTGACCGCTCCTGATCTTACGCGTCAGCTCACGATTGGTGGCTGGATCGTGCCATTCGGGAAAGCACGCCAAGCGCCTCAGGGCGGGGCCGAAGCTGCTTGAGAGGCAGGAAATGACAGCAGGGTTGTGGCGCCTTGGCGCCCTACACCACATGTTATGTTTCCACCCCTAGAAATCATGCATGCTCTCTGGGCAGGTGAGGATGAGAGTTGGTTGGCTTCATGGAGACCAGGTGGACATTCATAGACGCAAGAGGCTGCATATCCTCTAGACTCTGCTATGTTTCCCTCTATAAAGCAACAATAAGAACCTGGTGCTAGATTAAATATATCTTTTAAGTTTGTCTGTCAGTCTGGTGGGAGTGCAAACTCATACAGCCGCTATGGAAATCAATATAGCAGTTCCTCAGGAAGTTGGGAATCTATCTACCTCAAGATCCAGCTATAACATTCTTGGAGACATACCCAAAGGACCCTCCATCCTACCACAAGGACATTTGCTCAACCATGTTCATTGCCACTCTATTCATAATAGCCAGAAACTGGAAACTACCTAGGTGTCCCTCAACAGAAGAATATATAAAGAAAATGTGGTACATTTACACAATAGAGTATTACTCAGCTGTTAGAAAATGTCATCTTGAAATTTACAAGCAAATAAATGGAACTAGAAAAAAAAACGATCCTGAGTGAGGTAACCCAGACCCAGAAAGATAAATACAATAGGTATTAAATATATGTGGATATTAGCAATTATATAAATGATAACCAAGCTACAATCCATAGACTGAAAGAGCTTAGGTCTAAAGGAAGGGACTAGGGGGATACATGGATCTTCCTGGGAGGGGGAGCTAGAGTAGATTTTATAGTAGAGTGGGGTCAGGGTGAGTCAGGAACAAGAGGATCAGGTTAGGAAGGGGAGAGAAGATAGGGTTGAGGGATGGGATGCAGGGAGAGGCAGCTAGAATACTGCTCAGGTACCCAAAACCAGAGACTAGATAGCCCAGAGATCTAGGGTAAAACCAAATATTCTGGTCTAAAATAGTAATAATAAAATGACTCCTAATGATATTCTGTTATACTCATAGATCAGTGGCTAGTTCAGCATCATCAGAGAGGCTTCCTCCTGTAGCAGATGGGAACAAGCAGAGAGACCGGTCCACAGCCTCACTTTTGCAGACTGAGTAATTGGGACACACAGCTCTAAATAGGAAATTCCTTCCCTTAGAGCTCAGGGAATCCCACAGAAGAAGAAGGGAAAGAGTGTATGAGTCAAGATGGAGGCTACCAGGGAAGAAAAGGATACCTCTAAACCATCTGAGCAAAGGCCATATGAACTCGCCATAGACTGAAGCAGCCAGCTCAGGGCCAACCAGGTCTGCTCTAGGGCTTCTGCATATATATTACAGCTTTCAGTTTGTTTGTTTGTTTGTTTGTTTGTTTTAAAAAATGGGACTCCTGAGCGTGTGAACAAGTGGATCTCTGATCTCTGATTCTTGGGCCTTCTCTTGGGGCTCCTTTCCTTCTGTAGGCCAGGCTGACCTTGAACACACAGAGATCCTGCCTCTGCCTCCCAAGTGCTTGCTGGAATTAAAAGTGTGTGCCATCACTGCCCCGTGAGCCTGTTCTTTTCTAATGAGAGACAGGAAAGGGGTAGATCTAGATGGGGGAGGTGGGAAGGAACTTGGAGGAGTGGAGGGAGAGAAAATTGTAATTAGGATATATTTTTTAAAAATTAAAGAAGAAAAATCACTAGCCACATAGATTATAACAAAGATCATAAAGTATGTGCCCTAACAACCACCATACAGGATGGGACAATATATGAATAATGGACTTCTACTCCTCGTAATCAGACTTGCTTTATTTATTTATTTTATTCTGAAGCACTCAGAATGATAAAATTCAATTTCCAGTCAATTTCCATAAAGACTGCGTGATAAAATGAGAACTGTCCTGGAACTCACAGAGACCTTCTTACCTCTGCCTCATGTCCTGGGATTAAAGGCATGTGCCACTATGCCCGGAGATAAAATTAAGATTTAACCATGATTGTTGATTGTTTTAATTACTTAGTGTTGTCTCTGAACACCTTCTTATGGCCTCTTCTTTTGGGAAGAATTAATCATCTTACAGAAAGCACCAGAGACAGTTGTCATGACAAAACAAGGTATTTTAGGTTGCTCCATCTCACATAAACAAAGGATGAAATGTCAGAACTAAAAGCAGGCTCTGGATTTTCCTGACAACAGGTAACATTAGAAATGGAAATTTTATCAAGATATGTTCAAAAGGGAACTTTGGCTCCAATTTTCAACAGTGTCTAAAACTAGAATTCAAGAAATTATGCCCCACAATAATCAGACATGTAGATTAAAAAAGTTTATTAAATAATATATGACAAAATTGTAAGAGTCATTTTTAGAATGCTTACATAGCTATGCTTTCTATAAACATTTATATAGCCCCAAACATGAAAGTCTGTTGGGAGGCTTTTGTGGTGGTTTGAAAGAAAATGTCCCCCAAAAGGAGTGGCACTATTAGGAGGTATGGCCTGGTTGAAGTAGGTATGACCTTGTTGGAGGAAGTATGTCACTGTGTGGGTGGACTTTGAGGTCTCTTTTGCTCAAGCTTCATTCAGTGTACACTCAGTCTACTTCCTGTTGCTTGCATATCAACATGTAGCAGCTCCTTCTCCAGTGCCATGTCTGCCTGCACGCTTCCATGCTCCCCGCCATGATGATAATGGAACTGTAAGCCACCACCTCAATTAAATGTTGCTGTGGTCATGGTGTCTCTTCACCGCGATAGAAACCCTAAGAGAGCTTCTCTAATCCATAAGTTGCCTTAGCCTTATGAAGAATCAGGGTTTCAAGTATATTCGAGGGTTCTGAGGGTGCCTATCATGAAGAAGCCACTTGGAAGGATGATGTTGTTTAATTCCTTCACATATGGGATGTGACAGATAGTGAACTTCAGAAGTCCCTCCCACATGTGTAGAAAGACTATCAGAATATTTTGTACTGAAATCCATGTGGAAAGCCTGTGACCTTTTTGTTCCATTGCCAAGAGTCAATAACCCTAATGGAAGGTACTCGCTGTCAGTGATGCCCATGATTTCACCTTGTGACAGGTTTGCAAGATGACCCTGTAGGCTGGCATTCCATTTTAGGTCACCAGGTTTCGGCAATTTCTGTGAGAACCTGAAGCAGTTCGGCAAATGTCGGACGACTTTTGGGGTTCTGGAAAAAGGAAAGAGAGCTGGTCAGCTGGACTTGCTTGTCACTCAGACACCAGCTGTGGAACTTACAGGATGAGACCTCCACCTATGCTGGCTCTGCACAAACTGAAGAGCAATGTATCTTGGCTGACACACAGTGGCACGGTTTGCATGTGAGCAAGGTATGGGTGAGCGTAGAAGAGTATAGAGCATTGCACAGATAAAATGGTTAGAGTCATACACACTAGTTTTATGTGGCTATGTAAATCAATAAAAAGATGAATAAGTATTTCAACTTGGTTTTTCAATCTCACTAGCCACTTTGCAAATTCTCTGTAGCCAGAGGTGGCTACTGTATGGGCAGACATACATGAAATATTTCTACCATGACAAAATACTGGGTCTTTGGAGTGTGAGGTCCCCAACTCAGCATCAGTTGTTTACTACATTGGTCCTCTCTAGCAGGAAGGATTTTGCATAGAAAGCAAAAGGTATGTATGTCTGCTGGAGGGACTTTGTAGACCCTGGAGCACAGCCAACCAAACCTATGCAAGCAGAGATCAGAACACCTTTCCGTGTTTTACTTTTCAGTGGTTTGGCTCTGTCTCCCCAAGGAGAAGACATGGTACTGTTGGCATCTTTGGAATTTTTGGGAGTCAGAGCTACTCAGGAATGGAAAGGGGGCCAGAGTGTGAGCGGACATCATGAGCCTCGATGAGGCTCCAAGAATAAATCGTGGTGCCCTTCTGGAAGGTTCAAGTTCAGCAGGTGAAATCTCTGGCATGTTTATCAACAGTAACACAACCTTTTTTTCTAAATTAATAAAGTCCATTTATTCGAATTAACTCACAATCAAAAATATCATATAGCCTGTTTAAGGACACCATTCAAATATTTCCTTAGTCCCAAGCTCTATACATCTCAACGAACTTCTATACAGCTAAAATGGCCATCCTTAAGCCTCAGGACTATTAGATCTCCACAATTAATTACATTTTATTAACTTACCTTATATATATATATATATACACACACACACACACACACAGAACTGTGACAGAGTTGAAACTAGAAAAAGTAGCTTTATATTTTATTCTAATGTGTGTGTGCATTGTTTGAATAAATTTTCTAACTGCAATTTGAGACTAAGACTGTGTAACTATTCCTTCTATGATATCCTGTTTACCCTCCAGCTCATATCCACATAAATAATATAGAAAACCACAATGCCCTATGCACGTGTATAGGTTTATAATGCTCCCTGACTTAGGACATGGTCACCACCCAATAACGCCATTCTAAGTAGAAAACACCATGCGCTCAAGATGCATTTTACGCAAGTGCTCTACCATAACTCACGCTCAACAGCAGTTTGCAGTAATCACTGGATCATTCTTTTGATCTCTGACTGTGGAGGGGATGCCCCTACTCAGCTTTCCAATAGAGGTTCATATTTCCTATTATTCGCCAAGGAAAAGATCAACATTCAATGCTCGAAATATGGCTTTCTAAAGTTGGAAAGCTCCAAGTCAAAACCACCGTAGCCACCATCTGCGTGTTCCTAAGCTATTTACATCATGATGGCAAAGTCATTCCTGGGGCAGCTGTTGCTACCAACAGCTTACTTAACAATTCTGTCTTTCAAGATTCCTTGCGGAGAAATTAATCATGACTGTGTTCATACACTGGGGATCTTCCTAAGTGAAATATTTCTCTGGAATGTGAACAACCCCACCACTCTCTATTCCTTTCTTTCTTTCTTTTTCTTTCTTTCTTTCTTTCTTTCTTTCTTTCTTTCTTTCTTTCCTTCCTTCCTTCCTTCCTTCCTTCCTTCTTTCTTTCCTTCCTTCCTTCCTTCCTTCCTTCCTTCCTTCCTTCCTTCCTTC